GTCAGCAACTATCAATCTTTGTTATGAACTGGCAGGTAGAACCCTTCCGGGTCAGGTACACGCAACTCGACTAAGGCGTTAGCTACATCCTCTGCATTTTTGACTGGGGTGCCATTAGAGGATGTGTGTACTATTGGCTGGACATGAGGGCCAGGTCTGGTTTGCACTAACTATTTTTGCACTGTTTTCTTGCATGTTTGAATCCAAACAAATGACTCCAAAGATGCAACTAAGGTTTACAGTTTATTGTTGTTATTAAATTTTATCTTGTTTCAGTTTACAAGATTGGTGTTTGGACACTCCCTCCTCCACTGACTGAAGCTTGTCAGTCTAACCTATTTGTATGAATCGCAGAGAAGGACAGATTGCTTACCTGTAATGGTATTTCTTCGAATGGTCATCTGAGAATTCACACAAATCCCACACATCCTCCCCTTAATCATGTCCTGCTCATTACTAAAATCCTGCTGTTGCTGCTTGGAGGCATACATTTTGGAACTGAGGAAAGAGCAGGAATGCCAGGGGCTTTATAGGGGTGGTAGCTTCGCTTTGATTGTAATTAAGTTACAATCAAAGATTTGCCCAGTGATACTAGAACTTTCTGAGCTAGCTGCACAGGCACAGATATAACCCATTTGTGTGAATTTGCATATGACCACTCGAAGAAATACCATTACAGGTAAGCAACTTGTCCATTTTATTTGTCTTTTTCAATTGATCTGTCTTTTAACTGATATTGTTTGTCTGTTAACTGTTGTTGTTTCCTACCTCAATCTATTGGGAGCAGAATGTAAGAAATAACAACAACAACAACTATATAAAAAAGGGTGATAGATAATCTCCCTCAAATTACAAACCAATTAGTTTGATTGACATAGTGGAAAAAATATGCCTGGTATCTCTTAGACAAGCTAGAGAACAAGGACACAGAAAATAATATCTTTCATGAAGAACAGGAAGGAATCAAGAATGGATATTCCACCTTGGACAACTGCTTAGTGCTGAACCATTTAGTATATAAATACTCACGACACAGGAAAGGCCATCTTTATGTAGGATTTGTTGATTTGAAAGCTGCTTTTGACACTATTGATCATGAGCTTATGTGACTCAAGTAATCTAATACCAACACTGATCATCACCTTTTGTTCCTTGTCAGAATACTCTATACTGATATTTTCCTGAAGGTGAGATTGTTTTCACTGGGTTTTCTTACAGAATCTATTCCAACAGGCAAAGGGATAAAACAAGATTGCATAATGGCACTTTTTAAAAAACTTTTTCATTAGCTATAACATATATTCCATGAACAATGATAAAATCTTCCCCCCATCAATTTATGGGAGGAAAGTCCCCCCTGGCTCTATATGCAGATGGCATGGTTTGCATCTTTTATATTCAAATTGGATTTAGGAAACTCCTGACTAATCTGAATGCCTATTGTTCAGTCAACAAATTATTGATCAATTATGACAAGACCAAAGCTGTAGTTTTCAGAAGTGGAACTAAGAAGTACAATTGGTGCATTAGGCAAAATAAGGTAGAACAGATGACCCCATATTGTTACTTGGGTATATTATTTGCTGCTAATGGGTCATGGCAACAACATTTAAGAATCACACATGTCAGGGCTACAAAACCTGCCTGAGCAGCTCCCAAGCGTGATTCTTAAATTTTGGGATGCCACAGGAAGCAGGCAGGTGTCCTGGTTTTGCATTTAATTAAGCAGAAACACCAGCCACAGGTGTTGCACAGGTCTGAGATTTGGGGCTTTCAAATTGCTGCAGACTTGGATGGCATCCAGAATAGAATTTTAAGAACTGTTGGGAACTCAAGGATATACCCTGCCAGTACTTGTGGCTGAAAATGGGATCAAGTCCTTCATGGTTCATGAAGATCTGTCTGTCTTTAAATTCTGGTTCAAACTGAAAGGAATGCCAGAAAATTGCCTAGCAAAACTATTTTTTCAGGAACATCTGGCTCTTAGCTCCTCAAAAGAAAATTCCTGGTATCAAAATACCATGTATCTTCTTCATAAATTTGGCTTTTTGGAAACTTTTCCCCCAAAGAATAATTTACTAGCAAAGAAAGAATTCAAGTTATGTGCCATTGATATGTTCTTACAAGAAAACTTCTCATCTCTACCAAGCTACGTAGCAGTGATGTGTTCAATTCTTTTACTCCAAGGGCCTAAGCAGACTGCCAGAAATAGTGCACATTAAATTGAGGCACTACCCTGGCACAGTGCTAGGGAGTCATGGGAATTGTATTATTTTCTGGGACATTGCGCCTTCTCTGTCAGAGAGCTCTGGTGCCACAATAAATTACAGTTCCCATGACTCCCTAGCACTGAGCCAGGGCAGTGCCTCAATTTAATGTGCACTATTTCTGGCAGTCTGCAAAGGCCCCAAGTCTCGAGTCAGGTCTCAGATCTCTACCTTGAAGTCTCATATTGAATCTCAAGTCCTTATAAGATGTTTTCAAGTCATGTCTTAAGTCAAGTCTCAAGTCTGAGAGCAAACTTTTAACACAAAATAAAGGAGGTAGGGTCATTTCTCAGAGGGGAACAGCAAATGTTATAGGCACTGGGACTGAGGTGAGGTTGAGGTATACTTGGAAACCTGTCCCTGCTGCACATTGGAGGAACCTTCTAAACTTTTCAAAAGCTTTAGAGATCTCCTCCAATGTGCAGCTTTAGAAGGATCTTTTCACCTCAAGTCTGTTGCCTAACATGTTTGCTGTTACCCTCTGAGAAATGTGCCCTGCACTCTGGAGATAGGTCATGCTTGCTGCTCAAAGTGAATGACACAAGCAAGTTGGTTGATAAAAATATACAATTCAAAAGTTAAGCCAACTCATAGCATAATTTATTGCAGAGTCATGATCAAGTCAAGACACTGAGGTGACTTCAGTCTGACTTGAGTCCATGTCAATTGACTCAAGTCTCCATCACTGCTTAGTAGTATTAGAAAGGATGTTGGAAATTCTGTTATATTCTATATTTTAACACAGAAGATTCCCATGCCTCAAGAGCTCATCCCATTATGTCCTTAGTAATTCACTAAACCAGATAATCCTTTGCTGCATGTAATGCATTTTGTTTTTCAGCTGCAAAACAGAAAACCTATTAGAATTGTTCAGCTAACTGTTAAACTTTCTTTCAATCAAATACATCAGTAATGATGATGATGATGATGTATGGCAGCATCAGACATAAGACTTTATTGGGTTAAATTTCTCAACACATTATATTTTTATTTATTTCTTGTTTATAATCATGTGACATTAAAATTATCTTGAAATAAGTCCCACTGGCCTTGGCAGAGCTTAACATTGAGCAGAGAAGCCTAAGATTGTGCTTTGAAGTGAGACATTATAATATTTTAAATTAATCTGAGATATGCTTTGCCTTCACTGTTTTTAGCACCAAGAGCACTTTTAGCTGCCAGATTAGGATCCACCCTGATGTAACAAATACCTTCATTGCAGATTAAAAATAAAACTCACTAAATACAATAAATGCAGATATGGAATTTTGGGGCTTCCTTCCAAAAGCCCTACTTGCTTTGCTATAAACTAAAAAGGACATCCACATTCTTCAGAATTAAAATGGTCAGCCTACTCCCCCACTAAATTCAGTGTGAGAACTTCTGGGACACTGGTTTCCCATATTCTGTGCAACCACTGTCATTCCCCCCATCATACTTTCATTGTGTGTGTGTATGTGTGTGTATTCACACAATATCTGTTGTTGCTACAGTGAGAAAGAATGAGAGTAAATTCTTGTTATCTTGCAGTGGTATGGCTGTTAATTCCATTGGATTCTTCAGAGCTGAATATTTCTCATATAACTATATATTCCCAGTGTTTGAAACTGAAATATCTACTAGTTGCTCGTCACGTTGTGCTGACCAGGGCATGGAAATAATTCATTCAAAATGAATTTGCTTCCCTTAATTTGTTCAATTTTTAAACAATAATTTAAAAACTTATTATGTAAATTTGTTAAATGACAACAGTATTAACATGTTGTGTAACAATTAATGGTCACATTATTTTAATTTAAAGACACAGCCTTGTTAATCTGGAAAATCATGATGCAACCCATCTGACCTGTATATGGGGCATGTGTGTGTGTGTGTGTGGAGAGGTGGCTAGGTGGAAAGAGTTCTTGTCACGCTGAAGAGGAAACTTTCAATCACTAGTAAGTACATAGTCCTCAGTTGTCTTGGTCACCTTGTCTCTGGCCACATCCAATCTTCCAGGATGCTTGTTGTTCCAGCCATTCTGACCAAATAACTGTAGGAAATGTTGAGCTTGTCTCCTTTGTTTGCTGCTTGGCTACATGCTTTCATTTCCCTACCTATATATGTTGGCTGACAAACACAATAGCATACACCAAGTACTTAGAAGGCTGGTGATTTATTATTCTCAATGTGGCCTGGTTGTCACACCAGAAATGGACTTACCAATTAGCAAAACATTCCCTTCAAATTGTAGTAGGAAAGAACTCCAAGAAGAGGAAGTCCCTGTTGACCCTATCCTGTGCCCAGTGTGAGGGCAACCACTGGGCACACTAGTGCCCTTTGAAATAGACACCAAAGCCCATCCTTCTTGACACATCTGATTTCACTTGCGGGTCAAGGCCTGCCTGCAGTGGTTGCTGCCAAATAGCCACTCTCTTGAATCTGTCCAGGAATTCTAACCAAACCTGCAGGTCCTCTCTCATGCTCTTGTGCACCTGACCCAATGGTGAGGTGCAAAAACTCCTGACAGCTGTGGCCAGGTATGTGCAAAAGGTCTTGCCTGGAACAACCACCTGACATGTAAAACTCAGCTGTCCCAACGGATTCTGAAGGTCTTGGAGATGGCACTTCTTACAGCCAAGCACTTATGTTAGAGTCACAGGTAAGTCTCTGTACTGTTACATCTGGAAAAACCTTTGGTGATGTACAGACCTAAATGTGGGCCTTTGCCTCTAACATCATCACTTTTCTTCTCGCTGTGTAGTGGTTTAAGCATTGGACTATGACTCTGGAGACATAGGTTCGAATCCCATCTCAGCCATGTAAACCTTGGTTGAGTCACACTATGTCAGCCACAGAGGAAGGCAATGGCAACCCCTCTCTGAAGAAACGTGCCAAGAAAACTCCATGATAGGATTGCTTTAGAGTCTCTGGAGATTATCGCATGGAGAAATACTCCTGATATAGATTCGGGATTTGAAAGCCAAAATCGGATGTTATAACATGCACTGGTGACTGGGCAAGTGCAATCCGGATGCAGTATGGACCCCAACCACATTTATCCAACAACTTTTCAAAAAATGAGAGCTTGTAGTTTTTGAAAAGCTGCTGGATAAGTGAGGCTGGGGTCCCGGCTGCATCCGGGTTGCACTCACCTGGCCGCCAGCATGTGCAATAACATCCAATTTTGGCTTTCAAATCCCGAATCTATATTGGCAGCATTTTTCCATGTGATAATCTCCACCATAAGTTGGAAATGACTTGAAGGCACACAACAACAGCAACAATTATTCATAAATATTTGCCTGATGAAAAAGCCAGTGAAGCTTTGAAAGATGCATGATATCTCCAGCAGAAGCTATTTTGATGAAAGGACTGTATAAGGAAGGACTATGGGTGAAATATAAGGATCTGATTAAAATAGAAGAAGGTGAAATGATTTGTAAATCACAAGAGGAATTAAAACAAAATGGATTCGATATTAATTGGTTCACCCACAGACAATTGCTGGAACGGTTTAGATTAGATGCACGCTTAGATCAAATTGGACCAGCAAATATAAATTTTGAAAATTTTTTAGGAGAATCCAAAAAGAAGATTTCAAAATTTTATAATTTCATTAGAAGTTGGGAATTAGAAGATAATGTAGTTAAAGACTATATGGTTAATTGGGCCCGGGATTTAAATCAAGTTATCCAGTTATCGGAATGGGAAAAAACATGGAAAAAAAGAGTAAAATATATGCTTAATGCTGATCTTAGAGAAAATCTTTACAAATCGTTATTCCGTTGGTATTTAACCCCGTTAAAACTTTCCAAAATGTATAAAGGCAGTAATCCAATATGTTGGAAATGCGAAAAGGAAGTCGGGTCCTACTTACATATGTGGTGGAATTGTGAATTGGCGATTAAATATTGGAAAATTATTAATAATGAAATTAAAGAAATTTTAAACATTAGTATTCATCCTGACCCTAAAATGTATTTGTTAAATATAGTAAATTCAGAGTATGAAAAGAAATATGGAAAATTACTTTTTGTATTCATCACTGCAGCCAGAATGATTTATGCCAAAAATTGGAGGAAGCAGGACATACTGGAAATTGAAGACTGGAGAATGAAAGTATTGGACATTTTTGAGATGGAAAAATTGACTTATTTAGTCTGGAATGAGACTTTTTTTGACAGAATTTTATAGTACTTGGAAACCATGGAGTTTATATATGACTGTAAAGTTAAAAATGGTTTAATATTGAAAATGGATATATATAATAACTCAACAGTAGAAAATGCCTGGAAAATCTCTTTATTTGATGTTTTGTTATAGACTTAGGATTATAGGTAGATTTGTAGATTTAGGAATACAATATAAGCCAGTTATGCATAAATAGTTGATATAGGGTTCTCGATGTTAACATGTAATTGATGCGTAGTTATAACAGAAATTTGGACATTCACTTCCTCATACAGCTCTGGAAGAATTTTTTTTTCTTTTTTCTTTTTTCTTTTTCTCTTTTTTTCTTCTTTTCTCTTTTTTTTGTCTCTTTTTCTTTTTCTTCCTTTCGCTTTTTTTCCCTTTTCTTCTCTTTCTTTCTATTCTGGTAGTTTAGTTTATTATGATATATATTTACTGTATACATATTATATAATGTCTGTTTTTTATTTTTTTGTTGTTTTTTTGTTTTTCTTTCTTTTTTTCTGTATGGTATGTGTATTGTTTTATTCAATAAATATTTAAAATTAAAAAAAAAGAAAGATGCATGATGTATTTTGTATTTTTTAGCTGGTCCAATATAGGTATCATTCTTTTGTGGGCATACGATTTAGGCCATTGTGTTTTAGAGACATAGTAGGCAGTTTCTAACACTGAAAACTTGTTCATGCAAGAGTGAAAATTTGTATAAAGAGGGGATTTCCCTTTGCTACTCCAATCCCCAAGCACCTCAGAAAAAACTGCTCTGGAGAGCTGGGCAACTCCTTTGGATAAAACCTTTCAGGCAGTTCCTATGGCTGGATGGAGAAGAGAAGGGAAGAAAAATCTGTGACTTGCACCATCATCTCATTGGATTCATTGGATTTAGCCCAGTAGCTGTAATACTATGCTTACAAAGACTTCAATAAAGTCATGATCCAAAGGGTAATTTTTCCCTTTCAAAGTTATTTGTCTCTGTGTATGTGCTCTTTATGTTACCGTTTGTTCATGGTTGTTTTCCTAAAGCTGAAGGCATGAAATAAAAGTTCAATGACAAGGTGGAAGCCAATTTCAACCTGAATGTTATTACAAGTGTAAAGGGAGGATAATAAGAGGCTTTGGCTAAGTTTGTGCTGGTGCTAATGCTTCCAGAAATGTTAATGAGTGATGTGCCATCCATTTGTAAAATTGTAGAAGCTGCTGCGCTGAACAAAATGTGATATATCAGTTTTTAAACAGCAGGGAGGATCGGCTGGTGTCATTCGATAAATACAATTAAACAAGGCGAATGATTGCTTGCCCGCTGTGTGAGAAACTGCGGTATTGCAATATCAGATTTAAATCTGTGCACATGTGTGTATGTGAGAGAGGTGAAAGCATGAGTGAAAAGGACAGCTCTGTGAAGCACTTAATTAAAAGTTTCACTCAAAGTCCTTCTTGCTTGGAATCATTGACTTTGAGCATCAGATCTGCATCTCAAGGGCTATCTCATTTTCCAAACTGTACTATGAAGTGGCAGTGTCCTACAAAAATGTAATCTGTGGGCTGTGACGGGTATGTGTCATTGAGAAGAGGGCCCAAGAAGCAAATATGAGACACAGCAGGATAGGAGGAATGTAGCCCTAGTATATATTTGACATCCAGAGCAGATAATTTTTTAAATACCCCCTTTCTCTCTTCTAGGTGTGGCAGAGCTGCTGGCACACTGGCAAGAGGAAGTGCCTCTCTTTACCACTGAGGCAGCAGAGTTGCCAGACCTGGAAGGCAGCCCAGTCCCACCAGTGGCCACTGTGGGAGTGAGTGGCTCCTGCCACCCCTCAGTGTTTCCAGTGGCATCACTAGGGTTGGTGTCACCTCCATGCCCCATCCCATAGACCCCCTTCCATACCAAACCATACAGAATGCTTAATCATGTTTTTTTTATATTAATCTTACTCATCAATCATAATTCCTATGTATCATTGAATCTAATGGTAACAGTTGTGACATAAACAACTAGCAAAATTAAAATTATGTCTTTAAATTACAGTATCATACACATAACCTAAGTATCTTTACATATGCATAGTTTCATGTGGTTAAAGTGAAAATTTGGTAAAATGTGAAATTTTTAAAGAAAATATAAAAAGATTAAGAATTTTATTCACCCAATCTTTTATAGCATTTTGAATAGCCCTGGTGGCTCAGTGGTTAAATGCCTATCCTGCAGCCATTCACTCACAAACCACAAAGTTACGAGTTCAATACCAGCCAGGGCTCAGGTTTGACTTAGGCTTGCATCCTTCTGAGGTGGCTAAAATGAGCACCCAGCTTGTTGGGGGCAATTAGCTTATAGTAGTAAGCCGCTTAAAGATTGCATAGCACGGTATGAAGCAGTATACAAATGAAGCTGCTATTGCTATTTTAATAGAAACAAGTGAATGCCACAACCTGTTTTTCCCCAAATGCAGGTATTTGAGGAGCAGTGGTGTCAATCCCCTTAGGGTGCCAGCTGGTGAAGTCCGCACCCCCCTCGCACCCCCCAGTGATGCCACTGAGCCTTTCTGGGTCTGGATTGCTTTCCCACTCAGTCAGCAGAGCAGCCAGACCTGGAAAAGAACCCAATCCTATCAGTGCATTGGGTGTCAACCAATGTAGCCCACACACCCTGCAACCCCCTCAGCAATGTTCCCTGAATGTAGCCCAAGTGGAGTGACCCATGAACCAATGAAGGAAGGGTCCAAACAGAGAGAGAAAAGCTTGGATGAGGGGGTAGAGCTGGTGGGTGAGACATGTAAAGAAGGCAGGACAGATGGAGGGCAGAGAAACTGTAGATACAGAAGAAGCAGGAGGCTGATGGCTGGAGAAAGTAGCCCACAGGACTGTGTGCCTACATTCACAAGGATTGGGCCACAAGAACAATCAGTGACCACTAGTCATGATGGCTGTATGCAACCTCTTGATTCATAGGTAGTTTGCCTCCAAATGCTAGTCACTGAGGAATGATGGTTGGAGATGATTGTTATGTCCTTGATTTCCCAAGAGGCATTTGTCTGGCAACTGTGAGAAACAGGATGCTGGAATGAATAGCCTTTAGTTTGGCCCAGCAGGGCTCTTCTTATATTTTTACTATAGAAAGGGATTAATCAAGACCCAGACCTCAACATTTTTGAGATGCTTCACAGAAGACTTTTATCTGTGTTGTGCTAAACTCACTGGATTTAAGCAGGAATGAATGATTGTAATCAATATGTATAAAAAGAGTCCATCTTTTTATATGCATTGATTAGGTAATTGGTTTAGTCATATTGATCTGCTACCTAGCCCAAGCCCTTGAAATAGGTGATATGGAAATTGAAATGTAAAGAAACATCCTAATTTATTGAACCTTCCGTTATATTCTATTCTCAGCAGTACTATCATATGACTGCACATTGTAATCTGAGATAGAATAGAATCCTTTGCAGCAGAAGCAGCTCATACATTCTGAAGCAAGTCATTCAATGCCCATGAGTAAGGTCTTTATCACATGAGGCAGCAAATCATAATAACATCAGGATAATACAGTAGCAACTTCGTTGGTGCTCATCATGATCCTCTTCTGTTGGTGGGAGATGTTTGGAAAGTGTTTCTTTTCATTAATTTAAAACC